TCAGAGACTTGCCATCATTCTGGTTTTCATAAAAACAGTGTTAAAATGTGTGAAACTTGAAAAAACCCACAGAATTCCATATGTACAAGCGAATATAAAGGGCATATATGTGAAGTTTGGGGAATAGGAGCACTGGCATGCTAACCACTACACTGAAGAGAAGACTCCCAAACCTCTACAGCCCTGTGTGCACCCCTCCCTTGGAGGCTTCCCCCCTCTCTTCCTGAATTTCAGTGTTCACCATTCCCTGAGTTTCCCTCCTGATCTCACCACACAAGCATGCATCACTAAACGACAGAAGTGGAATCATATTTCATGGTTTTTCCTTACTTTCTCTTTCCTTAACCAGTTTTCTTCTTTTACTGGGACCGACCCTGGTTGATACACATAGCCCTAGTTCACTTATTTTTCAATACTGTATAGTTTTTGTTTAATAGTGAAATTTCAGTAACTCAGTGGTCAGGTTGAACAGCTGATTAGACACACCTAAAGGGAATGAGTAAATACAAATAGTAATTTGAATTAAGAAATTGCCTAGAATGCTTCAAAAAGAGGTACAGAGAGAAAAATGAAAGGAAGGTTAAGAAACATGGAGGATAGAATGAAAAGTTCCAATGGAGGTCCAGTAGGAGTTCGAGAAGAAAAAAAGAAGAGAAGAAAAGGAGGGAGAATTGGTATTCAGAGAAATAATGGCCAAAATTTTCCAGACTTGATAAAAGCCATAAATGCTCATATTCAGTCCTGAGAAGGATAAATTCAATCTACCTCTAGGTACAACTTAGTAAAATTGCAAAACACCAAAAACAAAAACAAAAAACTTAAAATTAACTGTAGACAAAAAATAATTACAAGTTAGAGGGATAGCAGACTTTAGCAGACTTGACAGTAGAAGCCAGGAGACTATGGAATAATATCATCAAAGTGCTAAGGAAAAACAGCTTTTAACCAGGAGTTCCATATCAATTAACCTACTTTTCAAGAGTGGTGGCAAAATGCACTTTCAAACAGAGACTTTGCTGAATACTAATGGATGTGTCTTAGAAAGAAGGAAGTTGTACCAAGAAGAAAGGAGGATATAAAAAATAGTAATGGTGAATAAACTGGTTAAGTGTGGATAAATAAGTTTTGACTGTATGAAAAGACGAAAGGTTAATGAGTTTCACTTCAGATGGTTAGAAAACAAAGCAGAGTAATTTAAAAGGAATTGAAGGAAAAAATAATAATAATAAGAGGAGGGGCACCTGGGTGGCTCAGTTGGTTAAATGTCAGACTCTTGATTTCCGCTCAGGTTTTCATCTCAGGGCCTGGGATCCAGCCCAATGTCTGGCTCTGTGCTGGGCGTGGAGCCTCCTTGAGAGTCTCTCTCCCTCTCCCTCTGCCCGCCCTCCCACACTCACGCATGCGCATGTTCTCCCCCCCCAAAGTAAATAAACAATTAAAAAATAAAAGAAGAGCAGAATTTAGTGAAGTAGGAAATAAAGAAATCAACAAAACCAAAAGTTGCTCCTTTGAAAACACTAATAAACAAGACAAGCTATATAGGACTGATCAAAAAAGAAAGAAAAGGTACAAATACAAATATTTGGGATGAAAAAGAGGACATACTATGAAAATTTTTATGCCACTATATTTGAAAGGGTAGATAAAATGAAAATTTTTCCCAAAGGGCCAAGAATATCAAAGACAATTTGGAAGAAAAAAAGAAAAGAACGGGAAGGTGAGGGAACAAAGGTGTTCACTTATCAGATTTTAAGAGTACTATAAACTTATAGTTTATAGCATGGTAAAGGCACAAGGCTAGGCAAATCAGTGAAACATAGCATAGATCTTAAAAAGATGAATATCTATAAAAATTTTGTGTGTGAGTAAAATAACACAAGTTAGTGGGGCAGGAGTTCATTAAATGGTGGTGGTGAAATTGGCTCATCTTAAGAATAAAAGATGGAAGTAGATTTTCTGTGTCACACACAGTATACCAAAAATAAATCCTAAATAGATTAAAGAACCACATGTAAAAAGCAAAATTTGAGAACTTTTAGAATAAAATACAGGACAATATCTTTAGGAATTGAGGGTGGGAAAGAATTTATAAACAAGAAAGGAAAGGCACCAATCTTAAAAGATTAATTTCATCTCAACATTAAGCAACAAAAGATTGGCATCCCACAAATCAATTAAAAAGATGGTAGAAAAATAGACAAAAGGTAAAGATCGGTAGTTTACAGAAGAAAGGTGAATGATTCCAGAGGAGAGAAAAAGAAAAAAACTGTGCAGCTTCACCAAATAGAAAAATGAAAAACCTAAAACCACATTAAGATATCATGTCACACTCATCTGTCTGGCATTACCAAGAGTTGGTAAGAATGTGGAGCAATGAGTTGAGAGTGTGAATTTTTATAACTACTTTGGTGAATAATTTGGCAATATCCAAGAAAATTGAAGGTAACTCATAGCCATGAGTGTAATTCATGCATATATACATGTATAATATCTTATGTGTTCCTTTAAGAAACTCTTACCATGTACACAGACTCCTTTGTTCGTAATTAAAGAAAACAGTGGTAACAATCAAAACGTCCCTTAGCGGGAGACTGGATAAATCAATTTTGGCATGTTTATGGATTGAAATATTTTATAAACCCTACATGAATGGACTAGATTTATCTTTCTATTGAATGTTCCTTCGTCCTGGTTTAATGTTTGCGGTAAATGTTAATATTGTTCACCAACCATTCTCCTTTCTTCTCCTGGGCACACAACGGGATTGCACTTTCCCACCCCCTTTGAAGTTAGGCAAGGCCCTGTGACTTGCCTTGGTCACTCGAACATGAGAGAGGTGATGTGTGTTACTTTGGGGGACAGGTCTTAAGAACCAGGACTCAGCTCTCTTTCTTCTTTTTGCTGCTGTAACTGAGGAAATTCATATGAATACAAAGCCTCTGTCACTCAGGCCCTTGGCTGATACAGTGAGCAGAACCATCATCACTGAATCCATAGGGTGCACAAAAAAATAAATACATAAATATATAAATAAACGTGCACTGTGGAAGGGAGAATGGAGGCTGTTACTGCAGCCTAGGCTCCTATCTACAGTATTATTTTATGTCTCAGTTCAATTTACCATGCACATTGTGCCACTTCCTTAAGTTCCACCTTCCAATCACCCAGTACTCCCCCTTTTCCATGAAATAGAGGTACCATGACTTAGCCTCCAAATATAGTCCTTCCTTGTCTTTCCAAGTCCTGGGGAACTTCTTTCTGAGCCCCTTCCTTCTCTGCCAGGAAACTATCCTTAGAGGTTATTTCACTAGTGCGTTTGCTTGTTGCTTTGGAGTTAAGCTTGGTAGTCAAGGGATTCGTCACCAGAAATCCGTCCTCTCTCCCTTTCTCCTTCCCCTTCTCCCTTTTTTATCTGTGGATGGCTTCCTCGTCTGCAGAGAGCAAAGCAGTTAGTGAAGCTGGAGAAGATGAGGGCTCAAGTCAGGCATGCCCAGCTTTGGAAAATAAATACATCGTGTAGAAGATACATGTAAGATTATGTCCTTCACATCATTATCAAGGTAGAAATGTTTTGGCATGGAGGTAGTACTGCTCACCCACTCTCTTCAGAGAGTATATAATATTATACTGAAAAGTACAGTATATATTTAATGAGAAATTGTCTTTTTTTCAACCTATTTTAAAATTATATAAAGTAAGTTGCAAATCTTGAAGGTAAGTAGCTGGGCCTAATTGTAGATTTGGGTTGAATAATAAATTAAATTAAAACCCCAACACTGGAAAATGCACAGAAAAGGTCCCAGGGACTTAAAAGGCCCTTACCTTTTATTATTCTCTTCTCCATGGTTAGAGAATCTACATCATTTTTCGATAGCTATCATTTTGTGGAAGCCCTTGGCTTTAAAAATGAACAGGTTGATACGGATTTGAAGTAGAGAAAGAGACTCAAAATCAAAACAGAACTGGTGTTTCAAAATATAGCAGTTCATGAACAAAGAGAAAAGCCTTCTGTGTTGAAATGCCTGGAATAGTAAACAAACAAACAAAAAAGGGAAACAAGTCATGGCTGAGAGCAGCAGTGTATTTTGAAAAGGGATTGGTACCATTTCCTAGATCATCTTCCTGCTTTGTGAATTCTAAAACACTGAATCTATGTGTGTATCATGTTTCTCTAAACAAATTTATGATACTTACTGAATGTAACAAGTACATACAGTTTAGAGAATAGTAATAAAACAAGCGCCTGTGTCCCCACCACCTGGCTTAAAAACAGAACAAAACCAGTACTTTTGAAGCCCTCCCAAGATTTCCTCTGGGAAACGAAACCAGTTCATATTTGGACCCATTGGTGGGAGTCCCTGCAAGACTTCAGCCCCCTCTTCCCAGACACATTATCCTGAACTTCATATAATCATTCCCTGGATTTCCTTTTTAGTTTTACATTTATGTATGTATCCCCTAAACAAAGCATATTTCTAGTTCTGCCTTTTTAAAAACTTTGTATAAATGAACTCATAATCTGTGTTTTTCTGTGCCTTGCTTTTTTCCCTCAACATTGTGTGTTTTTCTTGTTTTTTGGGTTTTTGGTTTTTTGGAAGTCAAGATTTTTTTTTATTGGGAAAACAACATTATGGTTTTCGATTCATCTGTTTGTACATAACTGTAGTTCATTAAGGTCAGTTAATGTGTAGTTTCCCATTGTAGTAATATTTTGAAATGTATTTATCCATTCTGTATTTTATGGGGTATCATGGTTCTTAATAGTAAGATACTTCAGGGTTAATTACTACATGTGGTTTGGTTTGTTCCAATCTTAGATTCAACTTTTTTTCTTGAAGCAATTTGGCATGGAAAATGTGTTCATGTCTTGAGATAATCAAGATGTTCTAATTTCCCCTTTATCATTGATGTGAGATAGTAATTCATTTTGTTCATAGCACACTATCAGGATATGTTTGGCTTCCCTTATCTTGATGCTGAATCTTGTGTTGGGCTCACAGTTCCCGTGGAGAATGTTGCAACAATTGCTGATTGTGCCAGTGTGATTGAAGGAGTCAGTCGGAGCCGAAATGCCTTGCTGAATGGCGACACCAAGAATTATGACTGGGATTCTGGCTATACGTGTCATCAGCTGGGAAGTGGTGCGATTGTGGTTCAGCTGGCACAGCCGTACATGATCGGGTCAATACGGTAAGAAGATTCCTTTCCATTCGTTACTTTTGAAATGGAAGACACACGTGCAAATTCTGTTTTGGAACTTCAGTGAAGATACATTTCTGTTCTTTGCTCTAAATATTGAAGGGGGAGGAACAAGGAGATACAGGGTGCCTGTTTGGATCTTCTGGTGGGAGGATACACCAAAATTAGACTTGCAGCGAGACTAGATTAGAGGCCTCTCCCTGGTTATGGCTCACCTCCTTCTTCAGTCTCAGTTTGTGTTGGCTAGGGACTTAGAGGATAATGTCAGGAGAGGTTATATAGAATCAAAACTAATTTTCAACTCCAATAAATTTACATCGGAACCAAATATGTGAATATGAGACCTGGTACTAACAAAAGAAATCTTCTTAATGAAAATCTGGGTTTTGGGTGGTGGTTTTCATTTCATTTTGTCTTGTTTTCAGAAAGGAATTTTAACCCAACGTTGCTTGATTTATGGGCTTATGTAATTTTAAAATGTGAGACTGGTGACATTCCCCAGAGGATATACTTGTAGTTCAAGAGAGCCATGTGGGTATTGAATAGGCTGCCCTTTTTTTGCCTTTTTTCTGAAGGTTCCAAGGAGGTCTCTGAAAGACTAATGTATATATATTTATGTTATATATTTATGTTTAACAGTAGATAAGGTATTTTACAATGATATCTGAGACTGCCAGGGGTGGGGATATCGGTGGGACATGACTGCCTTCCCCCCACCATCATGTTCCACTACATTTGCTCTGTTGTTCCCTGTTCTCACGTTAAAGTCATTGTGTATAGAGAGAAAAAGCACAAAAAATGAGGTAGTAGGATTTTAATAGGCAAAGGTTTATTGATGTTTAGGCTAATAATCACAGAGATTATTGCGGCCTGCCAATCCCCAGGGGCCACCCTGATGAGTGATGCTGGATTTCTGGGAGAATTCAGACTGTGGATTTCTTCATTTAAATTGTCAACCCCTTTTCATAAAGGGCCACATACGGGTTGAGTAACATAGGCAACCAATCACACAGATAGAGAAGCCTTGGCTTCATGCTGTGGACCAGACAAACCAGCTTGGTGCTTCAGGAGGGGGGAAGAGAAGGCACAGTCAGTCTGGGCAAGCTACCAGTGCAGATAAACCTCCGTCAGATATAAAACAAGACTCCATCCTTCCTTTTTTCTCAGCTGCATGCGTTAACTAGAGCAGTCCTAGGCCATCTATTTAAGCCGTTCTAGGATTTTTGCCATAGATGGTGTGAAATTTATCTAAATATTTCCCATTACAGTCTATCCCTCTTCACTTTACAAATCTGGGGAACCGTTGTCCTTCTCCAGTCACTGGCACTCCTTATAGTCTTCACAGTTTCTTGAAGATTACCAATCGTGTCTCTGAGATTACATCTGCAATTTCTTTCAGCAGGCGTGGGGTGTAACTCACTGGAGCCAGGAGACTTGGAATCATTTAAATTGACTAGATACTCTCTTTCTTTCACTGCACCTATTTGGGGCTTCAGTTTTCTCTTTATTATGTTTGTTCTGCCATTGCTAATTTGAAGACCAGTCTTTTCGTCAATGAAGACGGAAGCAAACTGACAGCTTAGTAGCTCTTCCCGCTCTCTTTTAATGTTCCCTGTATTCTGTCTGCTTACCTGGTACTCTACCCCCAACGCCAGCAGTGCTACATGTGATTCTCACACCAACATGTCAGAAATGGAATCCCATTATCCCCCCTTCCTCTGCTCAAGCCACCTTAAGGTTTCCCCCGTTTCATTCAGTGGCACCACCCATCTATCCATAGACTGAGCCACAAACATGGCAATCTTCCCAAATGCCCCCCTCTCCCTCACCTCCCCTCCTCAGCCAGTTCCGTCAGTACTGGCTCTTACATGTCTCAGAAAGCCTTCTGCTCTTCCCCATCCCCACTGCCATTACCACAGTTGTACCTTTGTCGTTTCTCTTCTCCACCTGGTCGGCCAGACTTCCATCTGGCCCGTCCTTCCCCACCTGCGGCCATTTCCCCACCCCAGATCTGATGTGGTCACACCCCTTCAGGAGAAAGTTCGGACAAAGGCATTTAAGAACAATCTGACTTGCTTCTGTCTACACAGCCTTGTCACCTGCTTCTCTCTCCACCCCTACACGTGCCTGGCTTAGCCTGTCCAGCTGCTTGCAGTTTTGCACACGCCACCCCTCTCTCACCTCCTCTCTCACCTCCATGCCTTCAACTCTTGGAACCTACTGTTCTCATTGCTGGTGTCTCTCACGACCTTCCCATCACCTCTTTCCTACCTGATTCTTACTCCCCCTCCAGGACTCCGCTCCTCCGGGAGTGCTTCCCTCACCTCCCGTTATCTCCTGGGTGGATTCAGACCTCCGTCTTCGGCGATCCCCACACATTCTGTACGTAGTTCCTACTGGAGCATTTGTCGTACTTGTATTATAGTCGTTTACATGCTGTCTTCTCCCAGCCTCCCCTGCCATATAAAGCCTGTAGCAACTCAGAATAAGCGTCCCTTGACAGATCAAATGTGTAGATGAGGTAGTCTGTCAAGAGAGCAAGTACAGTAGGAGATCTAGAATTTTAGATTCAGCAGGAACACATGAGGTCACCACCAAGGTGACAACTCAGAGTGGGACAAACAGGCTCTTTGTGTGGCCAGGCCACCTTGACCTCTAGCTCAACCCAAACAATCATAGATATTCGATCTGACCCCAGGAAAAGGTGTCACTGGGGCTTAAAGCAAGAGAGAACAGTGAACACTTGGCTGTCTTTAAATATGGAATGAAAATGGCTCCCCCAAACTATTTTTTCTTTCCGGGACTCCGAGTGGCGGTAATGAGCATGAGCACAACCAAAGGCAGAATTGTATATCTGAGCCGCCAAACTTTCTTAAGCCCAGCTATTGTTTTTGCAGTGAGAAAATCCATGCAATTGAAGCCCTGTAAAACTGGCTGAACACTCAAAGAGACACGTCTCTGTGAAACTAACATTATGTTTTCAGGATCTACATTTGCCTCTTCTGTGACATTATTAAGAAGAAAGGGAGAGAGATTTCTTAACCACCAATGCCTGTGGACGATGCTGGATACCCTGGCAGGCCATGGTTAGCAGCCGCTGATGTGCCCAGACAGACATTTATTGATAGGAAACTGGATCAGTGGCACCTCTTCATGAGGATGGGTAACTGACCAATGACAGGATGATTAGTCAGTGACATTTGACCCACAGCTTCTATTGCTTGTGATGACTGACTTGCTTTCCTGGTCACTGTATCTGAAAAAGCTCAATGGTTCTGAATTGACACCCAGAGGGAGAGTGCTACAGAGCTGAATGACTAACACTTTCCCCATCTAAGAAGCAGGAGATCTGGCGATCCTGGAAACTCTTCCTCTGTGGAAGCCAAATCACATGGTACACTGGCTTTATTTATTTTTTTTTTTTAAGATTTTATTTATTTATTTGAGAGAGAGAGAATGAGAGACAGAGAGCATGAGAGGGAGGAGGGTCAGAGGGAGAAGCAGACTCCCTGCTGAGCAGGGAGCCTGATGTGGGGACTCGATCCCGGGACTCCAGGATCATGACCTGAGCCGAAGGCAGTCGCTTAACCAACTGAGCCACCCACGCGCCCCAGTACACTGGCTTTAAAAAATTCGGGTTTCTTCATAGATGGTGACTACGAAGACAAAGGACTCAGACAGGAATTGTCTTGATCACTGCAGTCTTTTTTCCTAAGGGAGGATATAATTGTTTTGTGGGTAAAGATGTCTTTTGTTTGTCTGTTTTCATCCACAGAAATCATTTCTTCCTTTCCTGAGCCTTTACCTGTAGCCAGGTAGGCAAGCAGAGCCTTCTTCCTTGACAGACAATGCTTGCGCCTAACCACAGTCCGCAGGTGCTTAATCCTGCAAGTGTGTCCGGTACCAGTCCCCTTGTGGTGTTCTGGAGAGGCTGACCTTGAAACATGACCCCTGACCATCCCTCCTCCTCCCCCCCATTTTCTTTCACTCAGTTAATAAACATTTCTTGAGCCTTCTACTGTGTGCCAGGCACCGTTCTAAGCACCAGGGATAGCGCATTGAATAAAGAATAAAGAAAACAAACATCGGAACTGTCATAGAGTTGACGTTCTCGTCAGGGGGAGATAAACAGTACACAACACTGTTTGTAACATGTCAGATTCTTTGAAGGGCTGCAGAACAAACTGGAAGTGGGGGGTTGGGTGTAGAGACAGTGCTATTTTAGACACAGTGGTCAGGGAAGGCCTGTGCAGAGCCTGAAGGAGGGGAAGAGCAAGCCATCTGGGGATCTAGGGGATGAGCATCACAGGCAGAGTACCAAGACCCCAAGGGGGAGCATGTCTGGCAGCTGACAGGAGCAGCGAGGAGGCCAGTGTGGCTGGAGCTGGGTGAAGGGGGAGGAGAGCAAGAGGCAAGGTGAGGGAGGTGACTTAGAGAGTCGACAGCCCTGAGATTTGTTGCTATTTCTATATTCAGTCACCAACTTCCAGAACCATCCCACCCACCACCACACATCCATCCCAGCGTTTCATTAGCACCATGAGAGGAGAGTTTTCTTGGCTGAGGAGAAGAGGGGCCGGGCGGGGGAGGCCGCCATGCCTTCAGAAGCGCCTTCATTGCTCCTGAGCTGCCTTTATCCCAGCTCCTGGAAGAGAAACTGCGGAGGCATCCAGTTCTTGCAGCCTGGCAGGAAACTCGCTCCCCAGCTCTTTCTTTTCTTTCTCTCTCCCAAGAGCCAGAGCAGGCCGTGTAACTGGGAAATAAAGAAGCTTGGCTTTGTTGTTGCTAGGTTTACAGGCATAGCCAAAGTTATTCATTGTATATGAGAGAAAAAGAGAGAAATTGTCTGGAATATACCTTACAAGTGGGAAACTGAGTAGTAATTTTATCATTTTTGTGCCGCTTTAAAACATTAAAATTTAAATAACAGGAAATCTTCAGAGGCCTGACCACATAAAAAGACCAGGGTAAAGTCATAATAACTAACCAAA